CAAATATGCATATTTGTATACATGTATATTTTTTAAATTATTTTTTTTTTATTTCCTCCTCTTTTTGCCCATTCTTCGTGTTGATATTATTATCGTTGCATTTGCAAATAAAACCGTTACCACGGCAAAGAACAACAAAACAAACAAACAAACCCAAAAAGCTAACAAGCAACCAAACTCCCAAAACAAAACAAAATAAACAAAAATAATATTTAAAAAACCCCACAACAGTTGACATTCCAGTACACTCCAGGTTCCTGTGTTTCTCCCCAGGTTCTCATCCTTGGCCTGGACCTAAGTACTTTTCTACATCCGTTACTTACAGAGTAAGTTGTGAATCTCTTGTTCGTTTAAGTAGGTGTGTGAGCATGTATTGATGTGCGTGTATGTTTGTGTGTTTGCTTGTGAGTATCTATGTGTACGCGTGCATGTATTTGTGTGGGTATATGTGCCCTCTCTGTATGTGCGTATGTGTGTGTGTGTGTGTGTGTGTGTGTGTGTGTGTGTGTGTGTGTGTGTGTGTGTGTGTGTGTGTGTGTGTGTGAGTTTCTGTGTTCATGCAATGTCTTTGGACGGATGCATGTCTGTTTATGCGTTTCTATTTGTTTGTGTGTGTTTGTGGCATGAGTGTGATGTGTGTGTGTTTGTGTGTGTGTGTGTGTGTGTGTGTGTGTGTGTGTGTGTGTGTGTGTGCGTGCACGCATGTGAGCACACCTGTGTATGTGTGTGTTTGTCTCGGTTTGTGATCATATGCACACGGTGTGTTTATTTTATATGTATGTGGATGTCAAACACGTGTGACTTTAATATTTTTTCTATGAGACGTCTTCACGAATCCATGCAAGGGCGACATCATTCAGTATCAATAATGCTGACTCCTCCTTCACTAATTCAAAGGATGTTGGATGTTACTAAATGGAAACTTTGGGAAAACGTTCATCTATAAAGGGAGGTTAGGAGGAAGAAAGAACACTTTCATCATTGTAATGTCGTTTTATGGAATAAACCTCCTTATTTATGCTTTTCTGGGGTACGACCGAGCCAAGCTGCTATGGAATCATGATATGATATATGTCGTCGAACAACTCAAGTTCTGAAATGTCCTCTCGTAGATTAGAACCTGGATTTACTAAGAACTCCAAGCAATTCTGTCATCCTCTTGATTTCATCGCACTTGAAGACCAGTCGCTACCCTAAAATTACAAAGTTCTGTGTGCTCAGTCCCATGTTTTGAGAAATTCGTCTTTAACATTTGTGTTACGACGCGGTGGAATCAGGCGCTCGTCCATTTCTGGGCATGTGGAATTTTGGTATAATTTAAAAGCATGTTCATTTGTCTTGCTTTTTGTGAAAAAAATACTCATCTATAATGAATAGAAGTCGAGATATTTGCGATTGAAAGAGGTGGGGGTCGCCTAGTTTCAGGGGTAAAATTAGCAAGAATATGGCCGGCGGCTTCCAAAGCTTTAGAGTCCTTAGAGACTGGAAACTTACTTTTTGTGTGTGGCCTAAATCAACATGTTACAGTAACATTCACATAGAAATGGTTTTTAAATGGACCTCAAGGGTGCTGAGCCAAAATAAGACAATTAGAAAATTATTGTCAATCGGCCCAAAAAATGCAGATTTCTGATTTCACCACGCTGCCTCACATTTTCACAACATATGTCAAGCTTTTTCGAATACAATTCTTGGAATATCTTGATAACGACTCCGAAAAACCTTACAATATTGATAATGCAGATAGAACATTAAATGTTTCTGACCTCTTGGTCTTAGTAACTCAGAATGGCCAAAAATATCAGGTAGAATTTTGTACCGCTACGGCAGTGCAGTATCTGCACAGTCTTGCTTATTTCCTCTGTTGGCCTACACAGCTTCTGCCGTAGTGGTCATGGGGTTGGCCATGTTTTATATCTTTGGGATCTGCGTGTCCTGCCATAATGGAAGGAAGATATTATGTTCCAGTTTGGTCTGCTTCATCATACTTATAATCTGGTTTGTTTGTTTTATTTAAGTAAGGAGAAGCACATTGACACAATAATGGCATTTGTGAGATAGCGTGGTGAAATCAGGCATTCGTACAAATAATGAAATTTATTAAAATTGAAGAGATTGTCATTTCCGCTAGTGTGGCATTTTTTAAATTGAATTTTTGTTTTTGTCTCAATATCTTTTACGTCCAGGTAAGAACGCATGACTGTGTGTATTTACCGAAAAACACTGAGTGAAGGCACAAAAAATGTAAACTTTCAGTTTCCACCGATTCTCAAGCTATGGAAACAACCAAACTTTGGGGACAATTCTCTCGTTAATTTTATCTCAGAAACCAGGCGACCCCTAGCTCCTTCAATCACAAATATCTTGACTTGTACACGAGATAAAAGGGTATTTTTTCATCAAAAGCAAGACAAACAAACAAGCTTTAAAACAATACGAATAACTCCCCATGCCCAGAAATTGACCAGCGTCTGATTCCACTGCGTGATGACAGATTTAGTGCTGGGGAAAAAGGTAAGACAGACAGAAAGAAACATCAGGAGGAAAGTAAAGCGGCAGGACGTACTAGTGGTACTCTCCAACTACTCGTTGACATTTTGCTGACTGACTGTATACGTTTAATTCATCTGTACATATTATCTTCTGGGTCTCCAATGTAGGGCTCACATAAAACACGTCCAGAACCGCAGTGAGGAGTCTGAGTGGCGAGGGTACATGCTAGTGGCGGCTCTGTTGCTTCACTCGGTGATGGAGACAGGTCTTCAGAGTTGGCTCAACCTAGGGCGCAACCGAATGATGGATTCCGCCACTTCAGCAATGCACATGGCGTTGTTAAAGAAGGTAGCTTGATGTGTTTTAGTTGTTAGTTTTAGTAGAGATTTTACGGCGCTCGCAAATGCATAAGGTCATGTGAGCGCCACAAGATTAGAGGTGTTACAAGAGAGTAACAAACACAAAAAAGAAGGGGGGGGGGGATAAGGAAAATAGATCTTTGATAGGAAAGAAGGAGCCAACCACACCAGAGCACCCGCCAACCACCCACAGCTTGATGTGTGTCTGATATCTTTTTTTTAGTTTGTTGTTGTACATTTGACGCTCTGGGTGTGCAAAAAGGGCACGATTTGAACCAACGGTGTCTGTGGTGTAGCAAGCGGTAAAGTGCTTCGCTTTTGCACGGAGAAGACTCAACTTCGATTCTGAGCGGAGAGAAGTTTTTAACCGAGAATCTCGGTCGTTCTGCTGGAATGATGTATACCTCTCAGCGAGGGAAGGCCCAGACAGGGAGGGTCAGAAGCCCATCTCCTAAATGATGTACATTGTGCTCACGAGGGCGCTATAAAAGTCCATTTGGAACCCCCCCCCCCACCCTTCCCACATACACACATACATGCTTAAATTAAAAGAAAAACCTTTTTGCGCCTGACGTTACATACAGCGAACATAATGTGACTTTACGGGGATTTGAGACAAGGATATGCCTACTAGGACAAGTATGCTCTGAATGGGTGGAGTTTACTTCGCCCTGCTCGCGCGCAAATGGCAACTATTAAATGTGGAACTTTCGTGGTCTAGGCTTACGAGAAAACGAAGAAAAAAAAGAAAGACGGAAGAGACAATTATAATAATTAAACCCTGTATTCCACTATTGTTTTCATTCAAAAAATATTTTCACTCTCACTCTCTCTGTACCCAACCCAACCAATACCCTCCCCTCTCCCCATTACCGCCCCCCCCCTAAATCCCGCCCTTTTTGTCACATCCAGACATTGTCCATAAAGCAGACAGGCAAAGGGTCCACAGGCACGGGAGACCTGATCAACCTGATGGAGAGCCACTCCCACAAATTCCTTCGCTCAGGACACAACTTTTTCTCCATCGCGATAATACCCCTAAAGGTATGAGGTCTGCTAGTTCCGTTCTATGGCCGTACTTTGGTTATACATTTATTGCTGTTGTTGTTGCTGCTGTTGTTGTTGTTGTTATTATTATTATTATCATTATTATCATTATATTATTATTGTTGTTGTGTGTGTGTGTGGTAGCCTATCCGTTCGAAATGTTCGGAGCCCCGAAGAGTGTGCTCTTCGCCAGGGCCACCACCTCCGTTGGGTAGCGTATGAGGCAGTCCAACGTCCCTGAATCCTCCCCGAAGAGATGCCACCGCCGGGCCTCCGTGGCAGGGCATCTCTGCAGCCAGTGCTCCAAATCTTGGGGCTCCTCGCTGCGCAATGGACATATTGGGTCCGATGTTTTGTCTATTCTATTTTTGTAGGCCCGAAGCCCAGAGAAATGACCGGTCCTGATTTTTGCCAGTAATGACTGGTCACTGCGGGACATAATAAGAGCCTCTCGTTTTAAAGAAAATGCCCTGTATACTTCCTTCGTCCGCGTGTGGCATATAGGGGGTCTTTTGTAATTAGTTTTATCTGGGCGCACGCACTGTCATAAGTAATTTGGCGGCCTGGACCCGGCAGCGCTGTTGCCAGTTTGGCATTACTGTCAGCGAGATCATTGCCGAGGAAATCGCGGTGACCAGGGATCCACTGAATCGTGGGTTGAGGTATTGCATTATTTATGCGTAGTCGCAATTGGTCGAAGGATGGTGATGTTCCCACTAGTGCCATGCATAGTGATTGACTGTCGGTGAAGATAGCGACCGAGTTGGATGCATCGCACTCTTTGTCAATCCAGTCAATGGCCATTTCCAAGGCTCTCCTTTCTTCCTCGAAAGAGCACGTAAATATGGCACCTTTCTCCCTCAATGTCTCGACAACGTTGTGATGACGACTCCAGCGCCGCCGTCCGTTGTTCCTGCCCTAGCCGAGCCGTCAGTGTAGATATTGTACTGTGCGCCAAGCTCTCGTGCTCGACGAACAGCAGCGCTTTGAATCTTCCCACTGGAGTCACTCCTTCTGCTTATGCCGTACAGGTGGGGGAAAGTGATGTCGGGGTTGATTCCACGTTCCCAGGGCCTGGTTTCGAAGTAAGTGATGGGCCTCCTCTCGCAGTCGAACAGATGTGGGCTCTTTTTGCTGACGTCTTCGGCCCTTTTCGGAAATCCCTGCGTCCTTTTAGGCGTCTGTGCACTTGTTCCGTTGCCGCAATTCGTCGAGGGTGGTCGTTGTTCAGTCGGAGGGCCTTCTCTCTTGATCGGAGACAGTTAGCATTTATGGTGGACTGAATGCTTGGGACCCCCGTTTCAGCTCGAAGTGCCTCGATCGGTGAGGACTGGGCTTGGGTGGTAATCACTCGCAGACATCTGTTTTGAATCACCTCCAGATTATTTATCAGAGTTTTGCTCAGCCACGGTTGCCAGCTGCTGCTCGCAAAGTTGAGAACACTTTGTATATGAGTGAGGTAGACCTTGCGTAGGTCGTCTTTCCTCCATCCCCATCTTGAGTGCGCTACAGCGCCGAGCATCCTCATCTTCTGTGTGGCCTTAGCTATTACTGTCTCAACCTGTTTCCTGAACGTGAGCCTGCGGTCGAGTGTGACTCTCAGGAGTCTTGCGTAGGGCTCATACCTAATTGACGAATTATTAATCGTGATGCACGGCTTCCATTCCGAGTCAGATGTTGCGAGCGTGAAGAATGTTGTCTCGCTCTTTGAGCCGTTTAGCGTGAGTTTCCATCGCCTGCTCCAGTCAGCAACGATGTCCACCGCTCTTTGTGCCAGGCTTTCGGCGTCTCGTGTCGTGCGTGATGAAGCGAGGATGGAGACGTCGTCAGCGTAGAGTGAAATTGTGAGATCGTCCGGAAGTAGTTTCGCCAGTTCGTCCATATAAAAAAGGAAGAGGATGGGTGCCAGGACCGAACCTTGTGGGAGACCTTTGTTCATTTTCCTGCTATTACTCAGTATTCCATTGAATCGGACTCTGGCTTGACGATTTTGAAGGAAGTCATTCAGCCGTAAAACGTATGTATCTGGGATACCTCTGTCCAGGAGGGTGAGGAGTAGGTGTTCTCGCCAGACCGTGTCGTATGCCTTTGAAAAATCGAGGAGGACGAGTAGCGATTTCTCCTTCTTTTGGAAGCCATCGGAAATCTGCGTAATTCTCAGAATTTGGTCTTCCACACATCTCCCCTTCCTGAAACCAGCCTGCAGTTCGGAGAACCAGCCGTTCCGCTCGGCCATGTCGTACAGTCGTTCAGATACCATTCTCTCCATAACTTTGATGACACAGGATGTGAGGCTTATCGGTCTAAACGACGTTAGTTCCGATGCTGGTTTGGAGGTCTTGAGGAGGGGGACAATGATGGCGTCTTTCCAGACTTGTGGGACATCAGCTATTTTTCGAGTTTCCTAGGCGCGACAGCGAAGCGCGTAAAACTGAGTGCCCATTGGGGGATCGACAAACCGATCACCAACCGATCGTCCGACGCATCGCGTGAAAACAAACGCGTTTGGGTTTTTTTTCGACGAGTTGAGTGATCGGTTTGTGCTACGATGGCCGCTTTGCTTCCTCAGTCTGGTTAGCTAACCGAACCGAACCAATCGTGCCTATGGGCTCTGGGTCTAATCTCTACACCACAGACGCTTGTGGGCCTACCTCTTCTCTCTGCTTTTCTTTCTCACTTTTTGTAGTTGTCCTCTCTCTCTCCACTCCTATCTCTTGCCTGTAGCAGATGAACGACGTAGTGTGAACTGTTTTTAACCTGAGTTCACATCTTAGCCATCGTCGTTTATGGTAAACGAGTTCGATTTCTGAGTGTAGAAGCTGCCATCATATCCTTCAAATGTGGTGCTGTGTGTCACTTAACCTTGTTACATTATAGCCTTGAAAGAACGGTGGGAGCAGCCGGACCCTTAACTGATTTGAATTATAACGATGGGAGCAGCCGGACCCTTAACTGATTTGAATTATAACGATGGGAGCAGCCGGACCCTTAACTGATTTGAATTATAACGATGGGAGCAGCCGGACCCTTAACTGATTTGAATTATAACGATGGGAGCAGCCGGACCTCAAAATGATTTCGATTGTAACAATGGGTTTAGTTATTCTAGTTAAGTGTTTTCCGGCCCATGCAACTGCGTAAGGTCAAATGAGCGCGCGGGACACATTCAACATTTTAGGTATTAGTAGGAAGTCATTTGGAATTTTGCCCAGGTAGCGACCGAAGCCTACTCTTATTGATTTCGTACCTCCAGTGAATCTTTACTGTGCTCGCACAACTTAAAATTGCACATGGATCCTCTGAGTTTTTTTGCCCTTATCCGAGATGGCAAGGTGTTAGATCTTACACACTCTTAGACCATGGGTGTGTCTGAAGGCAGCAGCCAGAAGGAGCCAAGGGGTAGCAGTAGAAAGGCTGCAGAAAAAGTCAGGAGCCCAGAGGAGGGGGCAAAAGAGGGGAGGGGTGTGTGCTTAAAGTGGAGACGAAAGCAGAGGACAAAACATGGTTAGGGAGCAGGAAGGGAAGTGAAAGGAGATGATTTTAGAGATGAAATTTTCCGTCGCTGTCAGGTTTCTGAACCCGGGTCCTATAGAATGAGAGCCGAACACTGTAACCTCTAGACCACGAGAGGCCCCCCCCCCACTATATATATATACATAATACCGATGGGGTGCATAAAACTATTGCAATGACTTGAAACACAGACATCACGTCCTACAACCTCTCATGGCAGGTGATGCTGAGCCTTTACCTCCTGTACTTCCGGCTGGGTGTCGGAGCGTTTGCCGGACTGACAATCATGCTGCTACTCTTACCTGTCAACTCATGGGTAGCAGCCCGCCTCCTAAAGATACATGGCCAGAGAACGGAGTTGAGGGACAAAAGAACTAAAGCACTCACTGAACTACTTAACGGCATCAAGGTACTACTTTGTAGCTAAGATTGTGAGTGCACTGCTGTGTTGAGAAGTGGTTGTTGAGCGTTGGTCACATCCCCATATTGTTGCTCTGCATTGGTGTAATATTTGCGTTTTGGTATTCTTGGTTTGTATTTTGTGCGCTTAATTTTGTATAAAATTTATTCGTGTATTTTTGCTGTCGTAAACAACATTTCCCACCCGTGATCAATAAAGTGTTTATTATTATTATTATTCACTATTTATTATTACGAGACATTCCTGAACGTAGATGTTGGAGACGCCCTATCACTACTATCAGTCGGAAGTCTCGACTTTTCAGTACCAATAATGTGTTGAAGAAAAGTCGTTAAGTGCCTACCATAGAGACGATTATTCGGTCCAAAGCAAAGGGGGACTTCTTCTGTCTGTCTTTGTGATTTACGCTTACATATTCTCATTTATGTGCACATGTTTATGCATTTATGTTTACATACATACGTTTAAAAAATCAAGTTGGCCATACTTTATTTAAGAAAAGTATATCTCTCTGAGGCGCACATATAGTTTGTTCTTATAAGTAAAGTACTGAAACATTGGTTATAATACCCTTATTTAGTACGAATATATTTGAACAATAATACTTTGAATATTATATTGCCATTCATAAGGTCTTTCCAGGCACCCGTTCTAAATCAGGAATGTGAAGTTTACACGTTTAGAATAACATTAAAATGTGTCATGACGAGGTAGAATCAGGCTCTCGTCAGTTTTTGGGTACATGGGGTTACTGGCGTCATCTTAAAGCTTGTTTACTTGTCCTGCTTTCGATGAAAAACTGATATATCTATCTTCAATGGCCGTTGAATTATTTTGGATTGAAGCAGGCGGGGGTCACTTGGTTTCCGAAGTAACATTAGAGAGACAATGGCCGCCAAAGTTTGGCGACTTCCAAACTTGAGAGTCCTAGGAAACTGTAAATTTCCATTTTTGTGCCTTTCATCACAGTTTTTCCCAGTAAAGGCCGCCCAGTAATGTGTTTTTAACTGAACGTAGCCTACAATGTGTTGAGCACCCCCCCCCCCCAAAAAAAAAGCCAAATGGGAAAAGAAATGCCGTTTTCTTCAATATCATTATTTTGAACAGCGCCTGATTTCACCACAATGCCTCCCTCACAAACATTTTTTTGCTCCTTGAATTTTTAATTTCACTTTTTGCCAAAAGCAAACGAGAGTGTATGTGTTGATGAAAATGGTTATGTTTCATTATAAGCATATTATTTTAAATATTGGCCGGCTTTATTAGCTGTTTTCTTTTTACAAATCTATCTCCAGGCTATCAAACTGTATGCATGGGAAGAACCATTTATCAAAAAAATCAAGGACATTTGGAACTCTGAAATGGCACTGAAGAGCAAGATTGCTATAACGGAAAGCGGCCTGACAGTGATCAGCCGCGCTGTACCTTTTCTGGTAACTTACTCGTTGTATAACATGCATTGTAGCACTCTAGAAGAAGTTTATCCTCATACTCCAGTCCGTACCTACAATTCAGAATTAAATGTTTGAGCTAGTTGATCCTTTTTAGTATTTTTGACCTGAACAGCATGGAATAGCATACAGTGGCGTAAAAAAGAACTTTAAAATGTAATCACCCAATTATCGTTTTGAAGCCCTGCACTACCTACCCATGCAATACACTAATTTAAAGCAAAACAAATTCTGCATCATCTTTAATATTTCATGTTAAAAGACATTAAAAATATGGTCACTCAAAACTGACCTTAAAAAGTCAGGCTTTTCAAAATTGTGCGAAATCAAAGAAACGTTATAGTGCTTGTATGTGTATTGAGGTCCATTAACACTGATGGTACGGACATGTACTGAATATCAAATGAAAAGAGAATATTATTGACTCTGCAATGAACAGCATCTTCTGATGATATTTTCAAACAGAGAAGTCACATCCAAACCTGGACTTAACATTACATGTCCTCATTAGTGTAATTTTTGTTTCGTTTAAGAGCTATTGACACGAAACCTTTTTCTTTGGACATGGACTGTGTTAGTTAGATTTTGGACGTAAACATCTGTCAAGGAAGAACAGAGGCCTCCAGACTGCCATGGTTTGGGGTGGTCTGGGGTGGAATAAACGAAACTGCCCTTATGTGAATCACCGGATGGTTTAGTTTAATGGACTGCATCACGCAAGTGCCGGAACGTCACGTCTTACCCTGATTATTATTTGCATTGCAGGTGCGTGTGTGTAGTTTTGCCCTGTTTATCTACATGAACGGGCAGCTCCAGCCGTCCACTGCCTTTGTGGCCATCTCGCTCTTCCAAAAGCTAAACCGCCCCCTCAACGATCTAGTGTTCACCCTGCCGTCCGTCACAGAGGGAAAGATCGCCTACCGCAAGCTGCAAGACTTCCTCACCAAGGCAGACGCTGAGGAGTATGTAGTGCATAAAGAACTGTCAGACGAAGGTACAAGGGTGAATGTAATCATGATCACTAAGTTGATAGCATTTGTACAGCGCGTATTCCCGCTCGACAGCATGCTCTATGCGCTTTACACACTATTATTATTTTTACCCCAGCAGACCATAGAACACTCAGAAACAACCTCCGCTTCTCGGGAAGCATGCAGTGCAAGCAACTGATTAAGCGCTCACACACTAACAAAATGACAAGATCTTTCAATATCTATAGCTGGGTACCCATTCCCACCTGGGTGAAGTGACGAACACAAATTCGGACCCCTGACGGGATTCAAACCCACGACCTTCGGTTGCGAGTCTGAGAGCTTAACCACAATGCCACCGACGCCATGTAAAGTTAGGTACTTCATTCAAAACTTATCTGACATAGTACCAAGGAGGTTATAGTTATGGAGGTTGCTGAGAACCGCAAATCCTGGAGATAGAGAGAGAGAGAGAGGGGGGGGGGGAGAAGAGAGAAAGAGAGAGAGAGAGGAGGGGAGAGAAGGGAGAAAGAGAAAGAAAGACAGAGAGTGTGAGAGAGAGAGAGAGAGAGAGAGAGAGAGGAGGGGAGAGAGAGAGAGAGAGAGAGAGAGAGAGAGAGAGAGAAAGGGGAGGTGGGGGTCTATTTAATTGGGATTCTGAAGTCCTTGCTTAGTACGCACACCAAGGGGCTCCATTCTGTGTGAGGCACCGCCATTTTTGGTTGAGTCCGGCCTGGGAAATTCTCTCAACTCTCTACCCAGGAGCCAGGATTTTATACTTGAAAGACGATTTTATCTTGTTTCAATAATTTAAAAAATTGGGAGAGGGGTGGGGCGGGGGGAGGAGGTGTATCAATACTTTTATAAAATCGCAGTAAATCAAGGCACAACAGCGGCAGTTAGTTTTGGTAATTCTTTCATCATAGCTGTTAAAGGCCTTGAAGGCAACTATTACTACAAAAAAGTATTTCTATATAACGCATAATAAGGATAAGCTTAATGTAAGTGCTGCAAATCCTATTTGTTTCTCAATGATTTTGTTTTGCATAGCTTTTATTATCAACATATTTTAAAAATTGTATTGTTTGTCAGCTTTCCATCGAAATAGAATAGGGTTCACGTGTTTTGGGTTGTTGTTGTTGTTGTTTGCTGTTTCTTTAATTTTTTTTCAGTGATATTGTTTGTCGAATATCCTTTGAAATAGAAAATGGAATTTTCGAAAAGGCGATAACCATCTAATAACTTGCAGTATTTGGTATTATCCAGTGTACATCGAACTATTGTATGATAAAAAGGTATTCGGTGCTTGGTCTTTTCTAGGTCCGGCCGCGGCTATTGAGGATGGGACCTTCACATGGGAGGCTGGACGATCCCAAGCCACTCTGACAGAGTAAGACTAAATGTGTAGAATCTATACGTATTTTGTCGCGCGGCTCTCGTGATCTAAAGGTACGGTGTTCGCCTCTCATTAAATAGATCCCGGGTTCGAAACTTGACAGCGGTTGAAACAACTTCTTTATTATTGTCTCCTTTTACCTCCTTTCCTGCTCTCTAACCATGTCCTGTAATCTATTTTCGTCTCCGCTTTCTTCAACCCCCCCCCCCTTTTTTGCCCCCTGCTATGGGCGCCTGACTCTTTTTGCGGCTTTTTTACTGCTGCTCCCTGGCTCCTTCTTACTGCTGTCTTTCAGCCACACCCCTGGTCTTAGGGTAGGTTAGATATAATACCTAGCCTTCTCAGATAAGGGCGACAAAATCTCGGAGGTGCCGTGTGCAAGTTGCGTACGTTAAAGATCCCTTTGTGGTCCTAACTTTGATAAAAGGGGAAAAAGAGACAGAGAGAGAGAGTGAGAGAGAGAGAGAGAAAGAGAGAGAGAGAGAGAGAGAGAGAGAGAGAGAGAGAGAGAGAGAGAGAGAAAGAGAGAGAGAGAGAGAGAGAGAGAGAAAGAGAGAGAGAGAGAGAGAGAGGGGAAAGAGTAAAGTTGGTAGGGTACGAGCACGCAGGCGTCACGAACAGAGTGATATTTGATTGCATTTTCTGTAATTCTTTGCAAATGAAGTTTTGATTTGACGGAAAATAAATGTTCTACATAAGAATGTGCTACCCTTCTCAGTTTTAATGCTTCTATTCGAACTGTTCATCCAGCCGAATAAGACCAGGTTGTTGATTATATTTTTTTCCCCGGCAATCAGCTCCACCTTTCCAGCTTTCATTAATATTGTTCCTATATCAACATCAAGTGCCAGATCTGTGGCAGACATCGGAGATCGTGGTACCCCATTCATTTGTTTGCCCGAATGCTCTCTAAAAATTGATCTTCCTCGTCATTCTTCTGTTTTGGCTCTATAAAAAGTTGTTTTTAGGGTCTACCTCTGGCTCGTTTGCCTTTAGCTTTGCCAGTGAGGAAAGTTTGATGTTCAAGGCCTTTATATGTTCGTGTATAATACCCTTGAATTCAAACAAGTCCTCGCAAACAAACGAAAAAACACTTGGGGAATAACGTGTGCAATGCTCTCTGTGTCCCCAGCGTGAACCTGTCTGTACCAGAGGGCGGTCTGGTCGCCATTGTCGGGGCGGTCGGAGCCGGGAAGTCCTCTCTTCTCTCTGCCCTGCTCGGGGAGATTGACAGACTCAGTGGCCACGTCTTGATGAAGGTGAACTCTAGGTTTTGTCTGTTTTAGTAAAGTTTTACGGCGCTTGCGCCTCCATTTACATGAACAATCTGAGCCCCCCATCCTGCTCCCCACGAGCTCTCGTAGGGCCTATATAACATCGCTCAGACCCTAGGCCTTCTCAGTCCAAAGCCAAGCTCAGACCCCATAATATATTTCAGTGCAAGCTTGTAAATTTCCTCACCGCCCAGACGCCTCCATGTGAGTCTCGGAAAGTACTCACTCGTCTGTTGAATTGCGAATGTCTTGTCTATGAGGTTCAGCCTCCCAGAGTGGGCACACGCAGTCCACGTTCGTTTACGTGGGAAGGGGGGACACTACTGCCACGAAGTCTAGTACTAAATATAACCTCTTTAGTTTGAGTAAAGTTTTGACACTATACCAATCAAAGAGGTTATAAAATATAGGTTAGTGATATAGCCTGCGGCAGTGACGTCACCTACGTAAACGAACGAGGGCTCTTTGTGCTCACTCTGTGACGCTGAGCATTGAAGAAAAGAACATTAACATTATGGTGAGCAATTTTCGAGACTCACGTGGAGTTTTGTGGGCATAGGTAAATTAATAAATGAGCCATTGCTTTTCACTTTGGTCTGTCCGCATAAAAATATTCTAGCTCATTCATTAATTTACCCTTGCCCACTCAGGTCATAAATACGATGAACGGTTTCTGTGTGATTATTTTGTAGTCGAGTTTTTTTTCCTGAAAAAAAAGCTTTCTATTTCATAGTCCGAATTAGTATTAATTAATCGGGCATTTCAGGGTCACACTGCCTATGTAGCACAAGAAGCATGGATCCTCCGAGCGACTGTCAAAGAAAATATACTGTTTGGGTCTTCTGTGAGTCCAGATATGTACCAGCAGACGATACGAGCGTGCGCCCTTACTCATGACCTCAAACTGTTGGTGGACGGCGAGGACACACTGCTTGGAGAGAAAGTGAGTGAAGTGATGTTGAATTCAGCGTACTGCCTGATCTAGTCTTGGTTCTCTTCAACTATATTATTATTTGAGTGGCATCGTTGTGAAAGCAGGCGCTCGTCAAAGTAATGAAATTGGAGAAATCGGCATTTCTGTCGTCCATTGGGTATTCTTCGAAAACCCGTTTACGTGAATAACAGATACAATTTAATGTTGATGTTTTTTAAAGACTATTCATGTGCGCACCTTACAAGATCTCCTCTAAAGGTTGTCTTTTGTTGCAATTTCGTAATTTTATTCGATAGAGATTAGAAACTCATCTAGGTGTCCCCCCCCCCCACTACTTCAATTTTCACCAGAGTCAACTGCGACTCTCTATCATCCTCGACAAATGCTTTACAACTTACAGCGCTTGATTTGATACCGGTACTGTGAAGTAAAGCGCTTGTTCGTATTGTACTTGTAATATCTTTTTAGTTTTGCAGTGGAGTGGAAGTTGTATTTTTCTTTTCTTTTTATTTTGAATGAATAGATGAAATAATTTATTTCGTTAAATATTTTCATCATCATCATCATCATCATCATCATCACCATCATCATCATCATCATCATCATCCGCATCATCATCATCATCATCATCATCATCATCATCATCATCATCATCATCATCGTCATCGTCGTCGTCGTCGTCGTCGTCGTCGTCGTCGTAACCTTCATCGAAACCTTTATTTCATAGTACAAAGTTGTCCTTCGTATGTTTTGCCCATTCAGTAGCTTGCGGCTTTGATAGTTTTTTTTCTCAAAAGTGCGCAGCTCTGATAGTTTCCCACTAGTTTTGGCCATCGTTTCAATTTTCATTTTCCAGGGCGTGACACTGTCCGGTGGTCAGAAACAGCGCGTGTCCCTGGCACGTGCGGTGTACAGCCAGGCTGACACTTACCTGCTGGACGACCCGCTGAGTGCAGTGGACAGTTATGTGGGCAAACACATCTTCCAGAACGTCATCGGCCCCGAGGGGATGCTGAGAAACAAGGTTCGTTTGTTCTGTTGAAATTTCGTTTTTCGATGAGAGCAACTTCAGTTTGTAGAATATTATATATATAATATACTTTTTTTTCTCTTTTTTTTGGTAAGGTCTCTCTCCCTTAAGGTCATATTAGCATGCGGGACACGTTAAGCGTTTTCAGTTGGTAAGAAATTTTGAATCTTGCCCGGTTCGCGGCTGAAGCCTTCTCTTATCGATTTTGGAACACCAAGGGATCTTTATCACGCGCAACTTGCTCACGTAACCTTAACTACCATAAGATCAGGGGTGCGACTGAAAGACAGCAATAAGAAGGAGCCGAAAAGTAGAGGTAGGAAGGCTGCATAGGAGAATGTTTAGACTCTGTAGATTGTCAAAAATTCAAAAATGAAAGAAGAACCGTTTTTACCGTGGTCAATGAGTTCCTACTCAAAGAAAATTCCAAACAAGTGTCGGTGACGACATGGGGTTTAGATGAGTGGTCACTGGGGAGTGTTCTTGCGAAAGACTCGATTGTTGAAAATTACATTAGTAAATATAATATTCACAACCGTATTTCTACGCATTATAAATATTTATTTTGCATGTCTGTCTCACTTTTGCCCGCTTCGTAAATGATCTGAATTGTGTTGATGGGGGCGAAAAAAGCATCTACATTAAAAAGGATTACTTATTCCTTTTCTGCAATAAATACCGTCATTGGCATGCAAAGGGGTTTCATGTTCTAGATTTTTTTTAGGACAACTCAATCGTCTTTTCCCGCAGATGTATCTTATAGTTGGTTCACTTTCGTCTGTCCGTGTTAAAATTTGTTAGCTCATTTATTAATTTATTCTTGTCCACGAAACTTCTCATGGCACTTTCCATAGGCGGCCGAAGCCTACTCGTATCGATTTTAGATCACCAAGGGATCTTTAACGTGCGCAGCTTGCACACGGAACCTCAGAGGTTTTTTTGCCCTTGTCCGAGAAGAATCGGTGAAGATTTTTTCTACCAGAAGATCAGGGGTGTGGCTGAAAGACAGCAGTAAGAAGGAGCCAAAAAGCAGCAGTAGAAAGGCCTCAGGAAGAGCCAGGAGCCCAGAGGAGGGGGGCAAAGGAGGTG